TCTAGTATCTCTGTTACATTCTCTCGCAAATGAAGATTTCTTCATGTTTTCCATCATTCCTCTCCTATCAATCTTCTGTATAATTCGGTTGAAAGGATCCTCAAACGGCTGAAACTTGCACTATATTCTGTTGCAATCTGTTGATAAGGATGATAATGCCTGTACTTGGATGAAACATAAATGAATGAAGAAGGAGAAAGACGGCATTCTTTGATTCATCTAGCGATTTAATGCAGCTCTTCGATCCCCACAGGAAAATTTGTCGTAATCTATTCAAGTTTTTAGGTATTGAAAGATGTAAAAACAAGTCGAAATTTTCTCAGGAACAATGTATTTTCTTTTGAATTCTCAGGATTCTAATGATTTTACACAACAATTCCACATAAATTGAATAAGGTTTATATCATGCATCCCGTGCAATTCCTACACTTCTAAAATAGCAATCGTAACATAAGAGTCAAAAAGAAGATATCCGAATGCTAATTCTGTGTTTGAGAATACTGGATAGGTTTTCCGAGCTTTTTTTCGGAAACGCAAGGGTTTCCTGAAAATTCGAAAACCCTGAAGGGTTTCCAATAGATGTTCGGAAACCATGCTCAATTTTTCGGAAACGCTTCCGCCGTTTCTGATGCTCGGAAACCCAAAAAAGTTTTCGATAAAAAAATTATCGGAAACGCAAAGGTTTTTGAGAAGGTTTTTAAATCAGAGAAGGTTTCCGGGGATAACTTTCGGTTTTCAAAAAGAGTACCAGGGTTTCTGAGAATACGTTTGAGGGTTTGCGGATCTATATTTCGAAAACTCATAGGTTTCCGGATACTCGGAAACCCTGAAGGTATTTTCAGAAACTTAACATGAGTCCGGAAACCTTTGCGGATACGTTCAAGGGTTTTGGAAAGGGTTTTCGAAGGGGTTTCGGTTTCTGAGAAAACGCTTTTTTTTTTAGAGTGTACTAAGGGTTCCCTTATAGTATGGCTGTTGAGGACTAAGGGTATCCATATAGTATAGCATGTGAGGACCTAAGGGTTTCCTTATAGCATAGGGCTTGAGGATCTAAGAGTACCTCTATAGCGTAGGCCTTGAGGACCTATGGATATGGATTACCTTATAGTATAGGCCTTGAAGAGTCATGAGGATTACCCCTGGATAGTGTTCAAAGAGATACGAAGACTGCCCTTAGATAGCACATGAAAAGTTATAGAAAATACCCCTAGGTACCTTGTAAAAAAAATAGTATCATTTAATTTGTATCTAATAAATTATAAAAAGCAAATAAGTGAAATTTAATATTAATTAATCATAATTGAAATTTATATTAAATCAGCAGAAAAATGACATCCCAACTTTAAGATACTTTAATGTACTTTTAAGGTACTTTAATGTACTTTAAACTACTTTAATGTACTTCAAAGTACTTTAAGGTACTTTGAAGTACTTTAAGGTACTTTAAAGTACTTTAAGGTACTTTAAAGTACAAAAGTACGGTGTTTCCCCCTTGCCCACACCCCACACTCACATCCACACCCACATCCACACCCACACCCACACCCACACCCACCCACACCCACACCCACACCCCACACCCACACCCACCCACACCCACACCCACACCCACACCCACACCCTTTCTTTAGATCCCTTGTCTTTAATTGAAAAGATTTTGCTACATAAGACTAATTTTCTTGGATTGGTCAATTTTGTAGATTAAAATTGAGATCAATTTAATAAAGGAACCGGTCAATAAATTTAATCGGCATGCCATTTACTAGTGCTGAATTCCCTGTAACAATATTACTCGTTATATTTAGTTTAAGTTCACACGTATCAAAGAAAGATTTGTTAGCATTTGTACTTGTCTGAGCTCTCGTTCGAAACGCTACAAAAGTAGATCAATTCTGTCTATGTGGATACAAGACTTTTATAACACTTTCGAAACAGTTTGAGAAAAAATTGTTGGTTATGAAATTTTATTCGTGTATAAGAAAAATTTGTGTATGAATGAAGAGAGAAAAAACTGTTAGGTTTTTTCTTATTTAATGAGCATCTGCTATTCGTTGGAATTAATCCTTCACACAGAGGCTAAGTGTACCTGATTGCCAAAGACCAATTGGACCTGATTGCGAAGGACCAGGTGGAAATGTTCCCTGACGGAGAATATAGCCTGGTGGACATTTTCCTCGTCCAGGATAATAACCATTACATGTAACTTGATTGCCACTATCAAGATTTGAATGAAGACCACAAAGTGTTCCCGGACGATCATTTAAAGAGTTGGGATTCTTCTGACATGTCGAGAGAGTAATGGGACGACTTCCTCCTGTTGTCCACGAATATTTTGAATAACCTGACGGACAAGGTTCAGAATATGGGTTGAGATTATCACATAAAACATTCAAACTTGAAAAGACAATCCCACAAAATGTCCCCACTGATCCAGCTGTTGCGTTTCCATCACTGAGAGAACATGCTGGAAACTTTTTTATCCACTCAGCAAGGAACCAACACAAATCTCCGCACGACGAGGTACCTATTCCCAAAAAGTGTGTTCCAAACGTATATCCTATTGGACAAACATTACCCGATTGAATATTTGCTAATAAGCCTGTTGGAGCTCGAACACTGATAGAACAATCGATGCCAGTCCAACCCGAATTACAATGACATTGTCCGAAGCTAAAGTACCCAGTAGGTTGACAGGGACCTCTTCTTGAGCAATTGTTATAACAGAATAACGAACTATCAATATACTTTTGTTGTGCTTTTTGAATTAATTGATACTTTGATACTATGTTAGAATCACCTGGAAAACGTTTAGCCGTGAGAAGATTAAGAAAAGATGCAATGCTAAATTTAATAATTGTTGGATTTGAAGAAACAGTTTTGGACCATTCTTCAATCGATTGCATTGTGATAGCACCGCCCATAGTTATAATATTACTCTGTTGCGAGAATTTCTTGAAAATATTCAACATGCTCTGATCAAATTCTTCAGTCATTGTTAGTTTTGTAGAAGCGGAAAAAATAGAAGCAGCCGCGACTTTTATTTCAGCTTGATTCGTTGTGGTAAAACCATTTTCTCGGAGATTTTTTCGATTTTCTTCAGAAATAACAATTTTCTGTTGCGCAATTCCTCCAAGAAGCAAGTCTTTAACATACATTAAACCAAAATTATCAATAATTAACTCCTGAATATATTGATCGAGTTCAGTTGACTGATTGCAGCATGGCATATTCTCGATAACATAACGGAATTGATCAGAAAGCTCGAGGAAGGGTTCAAAAGCAGATAAACGTATTTGACTGATCGTAGATCGAGTGAAGTAAACTGTTGAATTCATCTGAACAATTGTATCAATCATTGAACGTGTTTGTGTTGAACGAAAATAACTAAATGAATTTCCATAGATACCAACGCTTCCGGAGAACTCGATACCCTTTTTCATACTTTCCTTCAGTTGATCAAGTGTGGATATAGTTTCTGTCGCTGCTGTTATTTGCATCGATGGCAAACAGTCAAGATCAACATTTTGTGGAATAAGTTTGCTCGTACAAGTTCCTTCTGGCTGTTTGGTAAAGTTCAGTTTAAATATGGATCGTCGAAATCCTTCCATTTGGCAATCTCCATTATAACATACAGGGGAACCAGCAATAAAATCATAGCCAGAACCGATTTTTCCACTGTTCTCAAGCCATTTTGTTCCATCAGTTACTATTTGCCTTGACGAGCGTTGAAGATATTGTCGTACTCGCATAATCGCCGCATTGACTTCTTCTCTAGATTGAGCATCTACTTGAAATGATGTTAGAACAAGTATAAATATCGAAAGTAAAAGCATTATGGAATGGAAAAAATGACTTTTATGTCCCCTTTTATAATCACAATTTGGTTGGAAATGAATCATTTTTTCATTTCATCTTCGCAATAAAAACGATTCGCAGAATATGCATGATATCATACAGAATTTATGTGTAATAAAACAACAAATTTGTATTTTCTAGAAAGCATCATAAATCATACAATTGCTGCAATAAATATAAAGAAAAGATACGCAAAACGACTGCACCATCACTATAAATAGTACGTGAATTGTATTACAAGCGCACACAGGCACAGTTCGTATATATAAGTGGTATACTCAAATAAATCATATTTTACTTAATCACATAATAAAGGTGAAGTTGATTTAGGTAGAAGTTTTATTATTATAATCCTTTTCTTTTCGAACTTTTTCCAAGATAATATATTGGTATATGATAACATGAGTTAATCAAATAAAAATCCTTACATAAAAAACATATACTGATTGAGAGCCAAGCTCTATAGATACTAGTGATGGGCCGAAATTGTACGTTACGAACGTAAGAGAAACGAAAGAACGAAAGAAAAATTCTTACGACTATAACGTAAGAAAGA